TGCCATGCATGTCATTTGAATCCAGGTAACATGGCTTGCTTCAGGATGCAGCAACACTCGAATAGCCAATGACCTGTTTTAGAAGGCTTGGGTGCTGGTGACCATGAACCATTGCCAGGGTTTGCCTGTTAATAGACTGATATAGGCAAATTGCTGCTGCTGCTTAATAATTCCAGATTCTGCCTTTTTCACTCCTTCAAGAACCCAGTGTGGCTTACAGAGTCCTCCTCTCCATTCTATTCTCACAACATCTCTGTGAAGTAGATTAGGCACTGAGCCTGTGACCGGCCTAAAGTCATTCAGTGAGCTTCATGGCCAACTAGGGACTAAAACACAGATCTCTGGAAACCCAGTCTAACACTGCAGCCTCTCCATTATTAGCTCTCATACCACACTGGCTTGATCTAGACAAGTCAGAGTTACTCATAGTGCTTAGAATGGACCCACTGTTGAATGAGGATGGCAGCTTCCTTGAAAAAGCATGTTTGTAGTTTCTGGGCTTCGGCTTGACCATGGATGCCTCTGTCTTCACGGCTGAAAACAAAGAAGTAACTTTGCCAAGTTGACTGACACTGGTGCATTGCAATGCTCATTTTTAGGAAACACATATCTGGCCATGGTGATGTATGCTATGTTTCCATTGTGTTTAGCTTATTGTAATACATTCTACGTAGGACTTCATTTGAAGACAACTGAGAAATTACCTTTGGTCAAGAATGCAATGGTCAGTCTGCCTACAGTAGTCATATGGAATATGTAACTCCCGTATGTAACTCCCTTGTTGAAACAGCTGCACTGTCATCTGGTTTGTTTTCAGGCAAAATTCAGTTTGGGTGACACTGAACAATTCCTTTAGGGATTGGAGCCAGGGTTCCTAAAGAACTATTGCCTACCTATTGAGAGTATCATCAGTGATTCCCCTATATGTCCCCCAAATCCCCAGAAACACTTAGTTTGAGCCAGAGAAAGGGCCTTTTTGGTGGCTACACCTAGGCTTTGAAACTCCTGAAACACCCAACCTTAAATCCTCTTTCCTTAATTGGTAAAGAAGTCCTTTCTTTTAGGAAAGAATTTGGATTGCTGGTTTATATTTTGTCTGAACTATATCTGGTTTTGAATAATTTTATTTATCTGTTTCCTGCTACTGTTTTACTGTTAGATCATAACATATTTTTAAATTGTTATTTTATATTTTATTTTTGATATTAGCTGCCTTGAATTCTCTAGAAGAAAAACAGGGTCCAATGTTTTAAACACACATTAAGCTGAACTACTTGCAGTTTATGCTAGTAGGTATGTAAATAGTGCATTTAGGACTATGCACGCTGCTTACAACAAGGCAATCATGGGATGCCCTGGTTTGGATTGGGCAAAGACACAATCATTTAAAGGGCATCACTGTTTCTGTAAAATTGACATGAAACCACTAGATGAATTCATCTTGAAAGAGTCTGTCCTAAAGCTTATCAATATTCAAATTATAATCAGTGTTATGTCTCAATTCCCATCTGTACAGCCTAAGGAGGCTGTTCAATTCATGAAGACTGTTTTGTACTGGATGAGGATAAACGATTTGAAATTTAAGCAGACAAGATGGAGGCACTGGAAGTTGGGCAACCTACTGTTTTGGGAGGAGGATTATAAGATGGAGTTGCACTCTCTCTAAAAGCCCAGCTTCCTAGTCTGGGCTCTCACTAAGTGGACAAGTCCAGGTGGCTGTGGAGTCCTGAGGTTTTATCAGCTTAGGCTGGTGTGCCAACCAGTTATTCATGCCTTAGTGACATCCAGGCTGGACTATTCTAATGTGCCTTTGAAAATTGTTCAGAAACTTGAGGGGGTGCAGATTACAATTTCCCAATTGTTGATGGGCAAGAGGAAATTTGATTATAATGCCTGTAACTGTAGCACTTGAACTGATTACTGGCGTGTTTCTTAGCCCAATTTAAAATGCTGGTTTTGACCTTTAAAACCTATTTGTTTCAGATTAAATTGAAGAACCACCTTCACCCTTCTCATTTGTGCACCTGTGAGGGCAGTTGGGTGGGCAACTACATGACAGAGGGTCTTTTCACCAAAGGCCCTACACCTCTGGAATAAGTTGCCACATGGGAGCTTCCAAGCACCATCATTTTTAGCCTTCTAGGAAGGCTTTGAACACACTTTACTCTGGCCTTCTTGTGATACAATTTGTCTTGTGGCTGAGTTTAATTGCTTTTCTTACTATGTTTTATGGCTCTTTTATTTGTTTTTGGTCGGTTGTTGTTATTGTTGTCGTCGTGGTATGACACCTTGGAAAGGCACCTTGCCCTAAAATGTGACCAAAATAGTTTAAATAAAGACATAACATAAATAAGGAGATTCAGTCTTTCCCCTGCCCTGTTTTGTGGCTAAAAATCTTCACTGAAGCTAATCTTCACTGAAGCTAGTGATCAGGAGGACACACCGTGTGTTTGTGTGCGTGCATGTGGGGGGTAGTGTAGGCTGAGACTGAAAAAGTTCAGAAAACAACCAACCTCCAAACTCTGAAACAGCAGTGTGCTTCTTAACCTAAACGATTCTAGAAAAAGCGGAAATGAACTCATTATAGGTGGACAATTTATTTATCCTTCTGGTACTAGCAGTTGTTTCCCTTCCACTTAACTCTCCCCTTGGGCTCGGCAAGTGGGTGTGGGAAGGTTAAACATTATGATTTTCTTGCATATGCCAGGGTTTTTTTGTTTTTAAATATACAGAAAAGCCCTCCTGGACCATCCATTCTCTCCTCAGGACACCTAGGATACGAGTAAGGATAGTAACTGGGATCCAAGTTAGTATGTGTCATTTTGGTTAAACAGCTATTTCGAAATGGTCTGAAAACTGCCAATTGACAATGATGACAGTATCAAGCTAAACTCATATCATTCAACCATTTTTATATATGTAAATTGTTAAGAGCTGTGTGGAGGCAATCCAGTTCTACCAATCCAAAAATATTTAAAAAACAATAAAATTGTGCCTAAAATATGTAAATATAGGAAAGCAATGATATAAATAAACCCAGCAATTTCTTGTGAAATAGATATTAAATGAAAAACAATGATTGTCAGTATATTCTCCAATTTCCGCTCACTGTTAATTAGAAGTAGCTAAGATTCTGCATGTGCACAGTTGTTGATACGGAAATTAATTACTATATAAATTATATTGAAAAGTAGCAAAGAGTCTTGTTTAAAAGATCAAATTCCACAGAGTTGTGGAAAACAGCTGCATAAAGACAAAGCAGTGAGAACCTATTATCGCAAATTCTCTTCCCCTAAAACATTTTAGGGGTTTATTGGCATTCCTTTTTATTCTGAAAACTTTGTGAATACTGTAGAAACATACATTATGATGTTCCAATCAATCGAATATTCCACTTTTAAAATATATTTAATTTTGCTGTAATAGCATTTTAAAGCAGCAATAAAGCAAAGGATTATAAGCACCTGTCCCATGGAAATAAATGGGATTTATGTATAAGTGTATTTAAGATTACCACATCTGTTTTACAGAAACAATACTTCACAAATAAAATAAGTAAGATTTTAATATAAAATGTGCAGACATACATTTCTTATTGATGAGATTTTTTAACGTTTTTCAGAATCGTAACTATCTGAATTTCCAATTAAAATATACTGAAGACTTGTAATTATTCTCTTTGCTCACATAGTATGAAGGCCAGTACCCAAATATAAACAAGCAAAATGTACGTGTAAAAAAATTGTGCTCTCCATTTTCATGCGGTGACATTTTTATCACAAAATAGTAAAGTGAATTTATAAATCAGTTTTGCATGCTGTATATCTAATATAAACATTTGCTAATGCAACACACTTTAAAAATGTTACAGAATAACTTGCAAAATATCATTGGAACTTTTGTCTTAGCACATGAACTTTTTGCTTCCTTTTAAACCATAAAACAATTTGATATTGGTAAATTAATAGTCACTACGGTAGTTTCAGGCTTAAACTACAATATTATGGAGATGTCTGAAATCTTTCCACTTCCATAATAAATAAGAGACTGGACAACACAATGGGAGCTTACCTTTTTGTAGCATACTAGAATGCCTATAATATATAATTTTGATCATGAGAAAGCAAAGCGAAGTTGTCATTTCTGAGGTCATACACACTCTTTCCTATCAAATTCCATTCATATTCAACCTGCTTCCTGCATGTTATTTACAAGCTCCCCCAGCTTACACAAAAAATACACATATCCAACTACATCCAGGACTGGAAGATAGATCACATGGCTTCTGGGTGCCATTCTTATTGCATTACACACAGAGAGTGTAAATGGCAAACAATATCACTTGATGTTTATGCCATATGTTCTGTCTACTCACATATTAGAACCATTCACAGACATAATTCAAGGAGTTCTGGAGTGGGTGGCAGGGGATTCCTTTCTAATAGAACTTGCATTATAAAGAAATCACAGTATTACTATGAGCAAAATAACAATGCTTAAAAGGAAGGGATAGAATATTTGTTTTGAACTTGGCCAAATACTCTCCAAAAAGCAGCATTATCAAATTCCATATCTATTCAAGGTCTTTTTTACACTACATTTTGTATTATATTGTTAATGTATTAATAAATTAGCAAGAGAACCCCATCACACACAAAATTAAATGAACATGCATAGCAAACATGTTAATTTTTGTGTTAGTAGTAGTAGTAGTAGTAGGAGGAGGTGTGTGTGTGTGTGTATGTGTGTATGCACATGTGGAATATAAAATCAGTAAGGGTACAATCCTATGCATGTTTAAATAGAACAAGCATAGATTGCTGGGGAATGCTGGGCATTGTACAACTTATTTATGTTTAATAATGCACTAGACTGTACCCTAATGTTCCTAATGGAAATGACTAGAATGTTTAATTCTTGACATAAGAGAAGGCTCTATGAAACATTCGGTATTATAATTCAAGCCCAACAAACTGGGACAGTTTTTAAAATAGACATACTCTGTGGGTGTGAGCTGCTTGAGTCTTTCTTTCTTTCTTTCTTTCTTTCTTTCTTTCTTTCTTTCTTTCTTATTATTCCTCCCCATGGGATTGAAACAAAATGAAACAAATTAGAATGAAACAAATTAAAGATGAAACAAAATGAAACAAATTAGAGATGAAACAAAATGAAACTAATTAGATGTAACATTTCTGTTGAATTATACAAATCATCCCTTCTGTACCATAAGTGGCATTTTGCAGTTCAAAAACTTTTTGTCCCTTAGATATTTAAAACAAAAATATATTTAGAAGGAAAATAAATTTGGTAAAGCACACTTATACATTAATGTTGTTATTATTAATAATTAAGTAGCCATGTTTATAATGGTCTGTCTTTGTATTAATGTAGTAGTGCATTATTTCAAGCTTCTCAACAAATACTTTTCCCTAAAGAAGACATGACTTGAATGATTCAAGGTTTTTAGATCATGAAGGAGTCATATCCATATAGAATTCTGCTGGAGTTTAACTAAAGTAAAGAGTATTTAACAGATGGTCTTGAGCATTTCTTTGGCTGCTTCAGCTATGGAAAGCAAGATAAAATACTACAATTAAAAAAGTTGTAGAAAGTTCCTCAACATGTATTTTTAAAAATGTAGTATGCAAAGCATACTTTAAATATCAGCATTTAAAAATAACAATGTATTGCTATCAAAAACAACCACAATAATCTGTTTCACATAATGCTCCTTAGAACCATGCAGAAATGTACAGGCTACTGACTAGTCTAAAAATCACTGTCCAGATTTGAAAGTCCAACAACCAAACCAATCCTCACCAATATCTGAATGTAATTAGGGTCTGGATTCTGGGGATCCCTTGCTCTTCCAGCGACTCCACCAAGCCACAGCATGAGTCAATCCTGAGAATTGTTCTTTTGGAGACTCAGTATTACTCTCCTACCAGTCAAAATGGATTGACGACAGAGAAAAGCAATGCATCTTTGTATGATTCCTTCAACCTAGCATACAGCCTTCTCACAGTATGCTAAGGCTGGTGAAGGCTAAACTTCAGTAGCTTGGGATTACATTTGTCCCTTTAAGTGTCCAAAATGCAGTTTACTACCAACACTTTTATCTCACTCAGCACCTTGGAAAATTGTGCTGAAGAGAAGAATTTCAATGAACCATAATAAGCTTTACTATTGTGAAATGTCATCTACCCAGCTACAGAATTTCAATGAGGCTCCATTGAACTATCAAATATGGATTTCTTTTCCATAGTATAAAAGGGTACCCTTTGGTATAATGTACCTTTCCCTTCTCTCATAGTCATAATTAAAATGACCAAAATGTAGCATTTTAAGGATTCCTAACTTATTTGACTTCTAAAAATTAATCCAGGGGAGAGAAGGATTTGTGACGGTACAGCCCTTCTGTACTTGATATGTAACATCAGGACCAGGAGCCATTTTAAAGTTTTCAGATGGGAATTGTGGTCTAATCTTTAACCTACACTTGATCCATATAGATGGTCAACCATCTGTCTGCATGCATGCCCAGCTGTTTGTGTAATAGGGTGTCTGTACAAATTCAAGCTCAAGGGAATTCTAGACACATCTTAAATTGCATGCGTATAAGAAAAAATAATTAAGGCCATCTGCAGTGCAACAGAATGAAACACTGAGTAGCAGGGTCCAGCAAAAGTGAACAGAACAATAAAAGCCACCCTTTACCCTAGTGTATAGTGAGAAAAAAAACAGGGTTTCCACTTCTTCAATAGTTTGCAGAATAGACAAATGATCGTCAATCTCTCATGTAGAAGGCTTCCTACGCCTCTGTGATAGCATTTGGAGGGAAAAAAATCCTTTTCCATATGCAAAACCAGATGTGTGAATGAGCCTATGATTATGTCTGAATTACTGTAAGGGAAAAGTTTTTAACCAATGGCATTCTGGGAACTACTCCTTTCTCTGATCCAGTGCTTCTACTCAGCCCTATGTTGCTTCCTCAAACATCTGTGTTGCCTACACACTGCTCTTCACAGTTTTAATATAAACTCCCTCTTTTGTGCTGGATTTTATTAAAAAGTCTTGGTTTTTTTATGTATCTATTAAAACAAATCACCTATAAAATAAAGTTATGAAGTTTGCATAATATCAAAGATCAAATCAGAACACAAGTTTGACCCTCTGCTGCATATGAATGCATCTTATTCTTAAAGAGTTAAAACACAATGAATAGCTAAACAGTCAATTTAACTTGTACTAAGACAATAGCAAAATATGTAAAAAACACACATTCTGTTCTTGAGAAGGAACAAATAAAATTATCAGTTAAATTATTAAAAGTTCCCCATTCATCCTTAAATTTAGTTACACCAACCCTCCTTTTTTATTTTGGTGCACTGTGCATCCAGTATTTTTATGCCCAATGTATTTGCATGCATGATACGTAATGTATCAACTATCTTTGTATTCAGTACTGAGCGTTCCCAGAGTTTCTTAACTGCCGGACTTTACTTTTCAAATATTTTGCATAGATCAATCCATCTGCTGCAATGTATGACAAAGGAAAACATCTTTATTCCGGCATAATAACCCTTTCAGGTAAGTAGTTATGTCTTGGGTTTAACAGCAGAATTAGCTTTATGTTCTTACTTGTTGCAGCATTTATAGTCAGGCTAATATTCTTTGTCTAAGGGCCATTTAATACAGTAGTCCCCCAAAATTCTTGGAGGTTACGTTCCTAAAGGACCCGCGAATTGTGAAAAAACGCAGATTTGGTGCTGGCGATGGGTGCCGGTCGCCAAGGCAGTGCAGGCGGGAGGCACGGGCCGGGCCGGGCCAGGCCAGGCTGCGGGTGGGTGCCCGCCCGGCGAGGCAGGGACAGGGGCGGGCACCCGCCGAGATCGTTTTCTTCGAGCAAGTCTAAACTCAGAGGAAACGATCTCTCTGTGAGTAAGGCGCTGCACAGCGAGGCGCCGGCTTACTCGCAAGGAGGTCAGCTTGGGTTTGCTCGGAGAAAAAATCCACGCAAGACTGAAGCCGCGAACGCTGAACTGCGACTTCACGGGGGTATACTAACGCATAAAGATACTTCGTCTTTGGACACATTTCTAACATTTATCAGACTTATCCCCATAATTCTTGGACAATGTGTAGAGTGTCATGTTCCACCGTGTGGCAGAGCAGTTCCACCATAAAGCTGTAGAGCAAGCAGAGTGAAACTCTGGCCCGTGTGCGTTCCCTCTCCAGCCCACCAGCACCTTTTCCAGACACCACATGCTCTACCACAGATGACTTGGGGACAAGATGTTTTCCTGGCTCAGCTGTTAGTTTCTTCCTTTTTCACATCACTGATCAGCTGCAGATGGCACAAGAGCTTTTCCCTGCTCAGCACTGAGAAAGGAATCTTAGAAATATTCGCCCTCTGAACTGATCCACACAACAAAGCCATCCACCCTGCAAATAAGCTACAGAATGTGGGTTATTCACGAACAACTCATGTTGTGTCTGACAGATAATTGGGCACACTGTGGATTGTTCCCTCCCTCCTTCCTCCCTCCAGCCAGTATCCCAGTGTCCTTTGCAGCAGAACCTGTATTGTCTTTTCCATCCCTGCTCCAATCATGTTGCCTTTTGATTTACTGCCAGAGGACTTTTTTGGCATTAAAAAAAGTCCAGTTAGAGTCCTATATTTTTCAGTCCCCCAATTGTACACATTTCTTAAAAATCTTTTTGTCAGTTTTTACACTTGCACTAGTATGCTCTTATGACTTTCCAATATATGTAATCTGACCTCACAATACCCTTGCCAAATGCTAGCAAACTGAAAAGGTGAGATGGCATATAGGTTAAATTGCAAACAGTTGACCACAATCAGTTGGAAAGGGGAAAAGTGTCAAAGAAAGTGTAGCAAAAAGAGCTGGCTTAAAGATTTTCCCCTTAGCTATGCAATTATCTCACATTCTAGTGTTGGACACTATTCACCATAGCAACACTTCTTTGAGTATTCAGTAGTAGAAGGAAGGGTGATCTTAAAGCGGCCCCATTTTTGCATCCCCTATTTGAACGGATAGTTGTGGTTTCCTAACAGTTGTCAACTCCCTCCTCCAAACCTATGGAGGCACCTACATGGGATGGAGGGAATGGGTCTGCATGGAGGGGGCTCCATGTGATTCATCCCATTCTGCCACCTCTAAGCCTTGCTTTAAAAAAATTAGACAAATTTGCACAATTTAGGGGCAGAGAAAAATATGCATAGATTTCAAGGCTGGAAAGTAATGGAGAGGAACTTTGCATTATATTTCCTATCCATTTATTTTGCAGCCTTTAAATCAATAAATGATGTCTCATTTCTTAAATCTGTATTGTGAGGGAAGGGGCTTGACAGAAATGTATGCAGATTTCATGGCTGGCTTTAGTTGTACCAATTTTAATGTAGGATAACATTTTAGTATACAAGACTTGAATGGGAGAACCAAGCCTGAACCAAAACCTGAGATGATTCACAAATAGTGTAGCCACTTCTAGTTCATGAATGTAACAGATGAACTGCTAAGATTCACTGTCATCAGCAACTTCTATAATCTTCGATGTACTGAAATGTACACCTGAGGACTTCATCTCCAGAGATGATCATATCCAGATCAACAAATCAAAGTAAGTAGATGACAGAACTGCACCTTGCAGAATAACAGTCAGCATATGTGTTTCTGGAGAAGTCTTCAACACTGACTTTTGGCACTGCCACCTTGGTAGGGGACAGAACTACTGCATTCCAGGGCCCTGCATCACCAATATAAGTGGGTGCGGGGGGGGGGGGGGTGTGCCAAAGTCTGCCAATAGGGCCAGAAGATATGGCTATGAATCTCCCTGCAGTTCTCCACAGAACTGTTTACAGTTTAATGGCTAGAAGATAAGTCTATAGCTGGCTAAAATATATATCAAGAAAAGCAACTTTAGTCAAAAAAATTTATTTCCTATGTGCTGAGAATATAATAGTTTTAAAATACTAAACAGCAGACTCATGCTAAAGGTTATTACTCAAGGTATCATCTGCATATCTGCACTGAGCCATGTCTCTCAGCTCTCTGGTAATCCCAGCTCTTCCTACTAATAAATTCTAGGATAAGCAACACATCTCATTAAAATGTAGGTAACTTGTCCTTTTTAAAGAAAATATAAGGACACAGTAATTTGAGTATCTTCCCATTCCTTGATTTAGAAAAAAACTAATGTCATAAAATTATTATTATCTCATTTATTGAAATAAAGACAAATTATGTATGGGTATCAATGAATTAGTATGCATAGTCACAATTCAATGAAATTAATTTTGACATTTGCTTCTTTTATTTAGCCTCAAAATGGTAAGGCAAACCACAGTAGTTGTAGGGATGGGATCCATTCTTCATATAACACAGCCTTCAGAGGTCAACAACTCAGATTCTGATTCAGTTTACATGCCAAGGCCAGAGGACCCAGGGATAAGCCAAGCAGATGCTGAGAATCAGTCAGTTTCTAATTCTGTGGAAAGGTTTTCTAAATAAGCTGAGATGTGAGGGGAATGGACTCACATCATTAATCTGCTCATACAACATTGGGTTAAGAGGGTAGACCAAATGAAATGTATCACATGATCCAAGAGATTTGCCCTTAAGGCACAGGATTCACCTGGAAAGTGGAGTCAGCTACTTTTTGTTTGGAATGGGGAAAAAGTATTCAGTTTGGAACCAACTTCGCATCATTAAGCTCCAGTTCCCTAATGACCTGCATTCTAATTTTGCTCATTTCCTTTCTTGTTGACTGCTGCAATAACCTTGCTTTGCATCACTAAGGCAACCTAGCTTGTCATCTTTAATATAATAAAGACGTCAGTTAGAAAGTTTTTGTCCTGTTTTGCTTGGAAGGAACAGAAGACCTACTGTGACAGTAGTGCTAAACTTTATCATGCTGTAGTGGAATACTTAGCCCCAGATGTATATTTCAATTTATTAAATTGAACAAATTGTCTAGATCTCACAAGATATAGATGGTTGGTAATATCCTTAGGACCCAAGACTATAGCTGTCTAGGCAGCCATAGGATAATTGATGGCCCAGCCCTGACCTCAAAGGCACTCCAAGATGAGAGTTGGAGCTCCAAAGTTGGAGCACCATTCCTCCACCTTCACAGTAGTATGTTTATTTTCACACTGGCTGTGGCTCCAAATTCATTAGTGCTGGTGGGCAGGGAAGAGACAGCCAAGCTCCACAAGGATATGATGAATTGCGGCACTGCCTCAGCTCCTCCTCATGAGCAAAATGTAAAACATGTAGATGGTGGAAATTGGCAGGGAAAGTATAGAGGTCCCTCCCACCTTTCATTGGATGCTTGGAGGGTTGTGGACAGCCACATTGGATGGTGACCGCCAGATGGTTTTCTAAGTTGTACATGACATTCCTCTGTCCGTACATGACAATTTTTTTAAAAAAACCAATTCTCTGCTAATTCTTCACTATGACTATCACTGAATAGGATGTAACTTTCCATCAAGGAAGGTGAATTTAACTTTCCGAGTCCCCTTTTAGATCATTGGACCTATTTGTCGACTTATACTACCTTTTTATCCTTTCCACTTAGATCAGATTTTCTATCTTAATCAGTTTTAGAATCTTCCTGTTTGGCTCCTATCTCTAAATGGAAGACATTAGATTCTTGGCACCTTAAAATGGATAGGGTTCTTCCTATACTTATGGCTGTTATAGATGTGTAGCATATGATGTCATTTCTATTAAATTTTCTCACACTGGTTGATTATGGGGAGCTCCAGATTTAAAACCTGGATAGTTTAATTTAGTTTTGTGGTAGACATTGATAGATAAGTTGATTTGCATTTTAGATTAATTAGTGGCTGCTATGGATGAGCTGTCATTCTCAGCTTTGCATGCCAAATATGATTTGCCTGCTATGGGTAAATGGAAATACTTGCAATTATTCTGTTTGCTATCTGGCATACACTCTCCAGCCGGGACTCTGAATATTCCATCAGAGCTGTTAGTTGGTTAACAAACAGACCAGTTCATAAGGACAAACCTTCAGGTTATGGGATGGCATAGAAATGGAATTAAACAAATGAATAAAACCTCTGGGTGCTGTTGGGATCAGGAAATCTTCAGGAATTGCAGGAACGTGCTTTAGGGTGCTTCAGCAGCAGCAGGGGGAACTAGGTTGTGGCCTTGTACAGAAGTCTTCCTGTCACGGAAAGGATGCTCTGGGTCCCAGCCTATTTTTTTACTAACTTTCTCACAAAGGACCTCCTGGTTCTAAAAACTCTAAGGGTGCAATGCTATTTATGTTTAGGCAGAAAAACACATTACAGTTCCCATCATTCCCCAGCCAACATGTCTAAACACACACAAGATTCCTCCTCAAATTATCATTGTATTTTTAAGGCATTTCTTGTCTGCCAACAGGCTTAATAATAAACAATGTTGCCCTCCAGTGGCATAATAATAAACAACAATTCACTTGGAAAGAAATTAGTTTAATCTATGCCTGCAGGTAGCAGTCAATCATTTAAAAATGAGTAGAAAAGACTTAACTTCAGAGCCCATTTCCTGAAGCGTCCCCTAAAATGAAGTTCAATTTTGCATAAAACAGTTCACTGCAGAAAGAATGTAACAGGTAGCTTCTGAGCATATGGAATAACATTTTTGTAAAAAAAAAATCTAGCGGAAGTGAAAATAAAAGGGAGTTGAACACAAGCTCATTACTCCTCCAGATAAAAATGTTATACACTAATATTAGTAGTTAAACATGCTCTTCGACATTCGGTTTAAGTGTGTTCATGGGCTGGGTATACTTTTAAAAATAGAAGGCACAACTTTCCAAAAGTTCCTAGCCACTGAGACTGACAAGAAATAGTTAACATTTTTTCTTTAATTTGATGCTTTGTGGTAAAAGTTGAAACATGCAAGCTTGTGGTGGATTCTAAAGCTTGCAAGAGTTTAATCAACAAATTGTTTGAAAGAAGTTGGTTTGAAACAGTACAGCAAAATAACAAGCTAGAAGCTGCTTAACAAGATGCTAGAAGTGAGCATTTTTATCCTCTACAGTTCAAGTGACTGTGGCAAATTTGCCCAAGTTGGTGAAGGTTGGTAAAGATCACACTGCAGCTGTTAAAAAACAAAAAACAAAAATACCCTTCAATCCTAAGTAGTTTTAAATTGGTTGGTTCCAAGTAGTTTGTTCTTTCTTTCTGGCTGGATCTGCTTGGGTCCAGATTAGTGGAATGGCTAGAATAGACTATGACTATCTAAGGCATCTTTTAATGCTGCTCTGGAAGATTAGTGGGCCCCACTTGTCTCCTCCAGAGCCTCTTCTTATAATAGCACAATTCTTTTGAGTAAATTCTTTTTCAGTTACCCTCCCCTGGGTCTGATCCTGATACTTCATTTGAGGAAGAAATCTGGAGTGTCGGCTTTAAATTCACAAGCACACGTCCCATGTTTGGAATGAATTACACCATTCTCTATGAATGGGGACTTGTATTATTACTGCACAAAGTTCAAAGTGAAGAATTCTGAAAACAAGTTCTTAGACCCAAAGTGGTATTGAGGGCACAGAATATCAATGCTGTGGATTAAAACAAATCACCACCAGATGGAGATGTCAGACTGAGACAATACTAAGTAGGTTGTTTGTGTATGGGCATATTTTAATAGGGAGAGAAAGAGCATGCTAGAAATTGAAAGAAATAATCCTGGTGACTATAGACAATAAAGCATTATATATTTATATATTTTGGAAAAAAATTGCTTTCATTTAAAATTTTTTGAATGCTATAACAATGTTTTCCCTAAATAATGTTTTGGAAATCTCCAATAGACTTTCTCATCTCTTCATCCCTTCAGTATCCTTTCATTCAGTCTGTTCTTTATCTTATAACATGAGATTTCTTATGCAAATTAATACTAAGTCATGGCATATAAATTTTTACTTTTTTCTATCATTTCAAAGGCCGAAACAAC